TGGATCTACACGAACATGGACAGAAATCATTTGTAACTTTTATAAAACACGTTAGAAACACTTAAATGTAACAAACTCTGGGAAGCTAATAATCTAAATTCTAAAAACATAAAAAGAATTATTCAAAATAAACTTAAAGATACATATAATAATGAATGGATGAAGCAACTCAATAAAGACAACAATCAAAATGTTGGCAACAAATTAAAGACATACTCACTGGTAAAGAAAAATTACAAATTTGAAAATTATCTAAAAGTTATTATGAATTATAAAATAAGATCAGCAATTACAAAATTAAGAATTTCAAGCCATAACTTGCCAATTGAGAAAGGGCGGTACAATAATATCCATCAACAACAAAGAATATGCAAATTGTGCGACTCATCTGAAGTGGGTGATGAAAAGCACTATGTTATGAACTGTTCAAACTCAGATATTAAATCAATTAGAGAATTTTTTTTCACAATTTGAAAAACTAAATCCAGAATTTGAAAAACTAAATCAAGAATGTAAATTCATTTATTTATTAAGTGCTTTGGATACTCATCTTATGATACCTTTCACCAAATATGTTAATTCAATTTTAAATGTAGTTAGGGACGACGTCAAAAGATCGATGTCGGATAAAAAACTTATTTCCTTTAGTTTGGGGGTGGGGGGTTTTGACCTCAAAAAGTTTCCATCCTACAAAAACAATTTTATTTTTTAATGAAGTCAAAAAAATCTTGGTATATTTTGTAGTTCGTTTTTTTTTTCTATCCAATCATGGACAGAAATAACCGAAAAAAGAAAAAAAACACAGAAAAAATGGTTTGGTTCGAGTGTAAATCTGTGCGTCAAATGAGGTGCATTTATAAAATATTTTTACACTCACCCGACAACCAACTGCTATGCAATACTACTGTCGATTATCAATTTGTATTTAATGGTGAATGTAGTCTGACGCCATGACCAATATTTATCAATTAAGTTTCAGTGGGGGGTAGGGGAATGTGGAAAAAACTAAAGGAATTAAGTTTTTTATTCGACATCGATCGTTTGACGTCGTCCCTTAATAGTATTTAGTGGCCATACTGCCGTATTGTACTATATCGGTGTTGTGTCAATAAATTATTAAATTATTATTATATAAAGATTGTGTTATTTTTGGAAAAAGAGTGACTGAAGGAGAGAGAAGATTTTGGCAAAAACCTAAATGCCATTTTGTTTCAGTCTATGCATAGCGAGTCAACTTATTCATGACAGAAAGCTATTAAAAAATGATAGACAGTCTATAGCGTACTCTCAATGTATGTTTCAAGTCACTTTGAGCATGCAGCAGCGTTTTTATTCTTTATTTGAGCAGAGAGTGTGTGGAACATCCTCAGTTTACTTATGAGAATGCAGTTCTTTGAGATCATGAATTGTTCTTAAGATATGTACGAATGATGATTTTT